CTAACACAATCCGAACCATGATGCATTTAACCGCCAGTTCCGTACAAAATCTGACAATAAATCTGGGACAATGTCGCGACCGTTGCATTTCCGAATTCATGCTGGATGTTCCAGAAAAATGTCACTTTGCACTTCTTCAATTCCACACACTGTCGTTTTACAACGTTCGATATTGTTAGTGCGTTTTACATGGGGAATTTCGGGGCGAGTGCACTTTATTACTGCCGCGTGGCCTTGCTTCATTTACATTGTGAACATTGTTGGAACGAAACGAGAATACTGAATGGGTTAGTTCCGCACATAGAATTTACTGTAATTTGTTCCCGTCTGCTTGCTTGAGAACTTTTACGAGACAAGTCAGTTTTAAAAAGAGTAGTTTGCACAGTTCTGTTACTGTGGGAGTACGGTAATAAGTGTTAACTCGGGCATTTCAAGGCGTTAAGAGAGGGAATTTGTCATTGTTGGAAAGCCTTTGATTCAGTGCAGAATCTAGTTTTGCGTAATTCGATTGCGAATCTGAAGTGTGTACGCAATATATATTACTGACTAGGTACAGACTCCATAAATTAGCGATTAAAGGTTAAGATATTATCTGTGAGTTCTGCGCCGTAATTAATAGACAAGAGTAGAGAACTATTTACCGAACTAGAACTATTTGCCGAAGTTCTGCCCTACATAGTATTAGGTTGGAATCTATTCATTTCAGGAAAGAAAAACTGCAAAATTTTTTCGAGGTCTTGTTATATTTGACAGAACAGATAAGCGCTCAAAATGATTATCTATCCGTGTGAATACAGGATCCACGTGTTGTCTGAGGTCAAACAATTTTTAAGCAATTCAAAAATCGGGTTGAAAGCCAAAACCATCTGTGGATCTTCGTGTCCATACTTGGCTTTAGGCGTTCATAAAATGTTCATACTTCTTGTTGCCATAGATACATGGCGAAATCAAGGAAAAAGTAATTTTGAAATGCGAGCAAAAAACTAGGTCCTCTCGGATGCATTCTAGGTGATTTAGACAAGAGTATAGCCATAAATCTGCACCT